ACCAAAGGGGGGTTATGGTGGACTCGACGTATGCCAAATATAAGACACATCACTTCTATCGAATGGTGCGCATAGGGTGCTGAAGTTCCAACTGCGCGATCCAAGTAAAATCAAAAAAAAAAAAAAAAAAAAATTTCAGAATAATAGAAAGAATAATACTTTATTAAAAGAAAGAAGAATATACAGATAAATTATGTACTGAAAAGGAAGATTACACAAGATAGATAAATTTGGAAAAGAAATAATTTAGATAAATTAGTTATTGAAAGAAGATGATAATTAAAAAACCGAACAAAAGGTTAAGAAAAAGGATAATTAATCAACTAACAGAGGGTCTTATAAAAAGACTTAGAAAATATTTGAAAATATTAATTTGAAGAAGTAATATGAATATGCAAAAAGGTTATACAAAAAGTATAATGATTGGGAATGATAAACTGGACCTCATCAAAGTTTATATAATATAAAGGTTACTTATAACATCATAAAAACAGAAGGAAGTTCACTTATAAAATAAGAATGGAAGTAAGAATAAATTCAAAAAAAAAATAAAGTAAAATTCGAAAATAAAGTTAAATAAAATTCGGAATAGAAAGGAAAAATAACAAAATAAAGTGAATATTAAATATCACATAATAATAATTAGATTATTCATCACATGTTTATTATAGAATTTAAATATCACATAGCAATTAATTAGATTAATTATCATAGGTAGTCATTTATTCATCACTTTTACTATGTAAATTTATTATATAAACCCTTTAGATTCCCTTAAAAAATAAGATGTTCGAATTTTCCAAATAAAAAAAAAATAATTTTAATAAATAAACTTTTAAATAAATAATAATGAATACTATTGTTTAAAATAATTAATTTAATTAATTGTTAAACAATTGAATTATGAAAATCTCACTTGTATATAAACTATAATTTTAGAAAGATGTTAATGAAATTATTACAAAATAAAACTTAGAAAGAATATGAAATTATGATGTGAAATTAATGAATACTTAAATGCAGGAAGAAATAATCAGAAGTAATAATCGAATGTAACATTCAGAAGTAATAATTAGAAATAACATTTAGAAATAATAATCAGAAGTAAATTTGGAAATAATAATCAGAAGTAATATTCAGAAATAATAATCAGAAATACATTCAGAAGTAATAAATAGAAGAATAATTAGAAGATATTTATAGAATGATAACTCAGAAGAAATATAATAAATATAATATTAGAAGGAATAATAACAAATACTTAAACAATAATAACATTGTAAAGAAAATATAAGACAAATTATTGCTTAAAATGCTTAAAGTGTAGAAAAGGATTCTTAACAATTAAAAATTAATTTGTAAAACAAATCCTTTTGACAATGAGTGACAGAAACGATCAAAAAGATACGAGTTATGTTAAAGTTTATCAAACTCAAAAATGCTATACATTGTAAAATAAGGATTATAGCAACTACAACAGTTACAACAGTTAAAACCAAAGTTATATTTATATAAAATTTTAAGATAAGCTTATTCATATTAAATAATATGAATATAATACCTTTTGCAAAGCATTCATATTAAAGAAAAAAAAAGAATAATATGAAAGAGAAAAAAAATAAAAACAGTATTATTTTTTTTTAAAATTTTTTATTGTAAATTATAGTATTATTTTAATTAATGCATCTAAAATATACATGCGATATAGTGAATTAAAATTTAATTATATTTAATGCTACTTAAAGCTATTTTATTATAACATATGCATATGATGATCTCCTGTGATAATATTTTGTAAAATCTGCTGGCTGTTTACCCTAAAAATACAATGTTTCAATGACCCTTACAATTATAATATTTTACTTCATTTTAAAATCTGCTTATTTTTTTTTATTATAATTTTTTTTTAAAATCAATTCACTTTAAAATACATCATGTTTATCTTTTCAAAAAGATTTTAATAGTTGTTATTTAAAATATCATTATATATTAAAAAACTTTTAAATAACCAGGATAAGAGTCACTTTTCTTAATACTTTAAACAAAAAAAAAGTATAAAAAAATTAATAAACCTTAAAAATAGATTTAATATGATTGGTAGATATATGAAACACAATTTTTTAATATCTGCAATAATCTGTTAATTTTCATAAATCAGCTAAATCTTCAGTTTTTACTTATAGCAGAAGATACTTATTCCTGTTCTGAATTATATATTTTTAATATTTTTAATACAGGAATTTAATTATATTTAATACTATTTTATTATAACATATGCATATAATTCTGAATTATATATTTTAACATAAGAATTTAATTAAAACTTATACAGAATTAAATTTATTTAATGTTAACATATATATACGATTTTGAATTATAATTTTTAATATAGAAATTTAACATTATTTTATTAGAATATATGCAATTAAATATTTTAAAATTAACATCTCTTAAAAGCTAAAAATATATATAAATCAAAAATATAAAGTATATACTCATTACTTATATTAAATAATGCAATATATGCATTAATTTATGATAAAAAATTATAACATTACATAAGATTTGATACGATCCTATAACTTTACATAGAATTTCACTATAATATTTCATAATCTTACGATACAGTAACCCTATGTAAGATTTTACTATAATGTTTCATAAATCTTATAATACTATAACACTACAAAGGATTTTGATCATAATATTACATAAAAAATATGATCTATACCCTATATAGGATTTTACTGTAATGTTTCATAAATCTTATGAACTCGTAAACTCGCATAATTTTATAATGTAATATTCTGATATATTATGAAAATCATAAATTTACAGAATATTACGCTGCATTTAAATTTCAGATGTATTACTATTATCAGAATTATTATTTGTATCTAAATTATTGATTATATTTTCACTATCATTTTTATTAATATCAGACTTTGTTAAAATTACTATGCTATAATGATCTACAAATTTAATATTATTACATATTTATAATTTTTATATTATTTATTTATTTATATTTATTATTATATTTTATATTTTATCTTTATTATTTATATTATCAATTTTATTTATTTATTATAAAGTAGTATTAAATATACTTTTTCTATAATTATAATTTTGTATAAATAGAATAGAAAGTTGCTCTTGTAAAAGATAACTCAAGAGTGTGAGTTCAAGACTTAAAATCCAAGAGTTAAAGATCTCTAAGTATACAAATCTACAATAAAAAGGAAATATTTTCTATATAATTATCTATAATTTTCCTTCAACATGTTTAAAATATTTATCATTTTGCTATAAAGTTATAAAGTTATAAAGTTAAACTCAAATAAAATGATTACTAAGTAATAAAATTAAAGGTTGATTGTAATAGAATTCATTTTATAATAATTATAATTAAATATATATATTACTTCCTATTATTAAGTTAACATTACCCTAAATTTGATAGTTAAGTATAGGATTAACAATATCCAAAATAATAATATTCACATTAGAATCTGTATTTGAAGTTTCTGATTTATTTTTATTTTTATTATCTATACATTCTTCATTTTTTTATTAGAATGTATTATGTAATTAGTTTAAATATCTTGTATTTTGTATATATATTTTAAGGGTCATATTTATAAAATTTTGTAGCTATTGATATTATAAGTTTATTTTTATCAAATTTCTAAGATTATTTAGAAAATTTAAAACCTTTTCAAGTTATCTGTCTTAAATATTTTGAATATGTTTTTTCAGTCTTTATTTTGCTATTATAACTTTTTTGTTAAAAAGATACAAATTGATATAATATTAAAGGTTTATCTATTGATATAAAAATTATATCATTGTACAATTTTGTTATAGCCTTAATTGGTTAATTTCATAGTAAATTTACATTATTTTAAACTAAAATTACTTTTTAATTACTTATATAAAAAATTTATCCAATAATTAAAAAAGCTTTAGTATTGTTTATCATTTCTATTAGATAATATTTTGAATTTAAATTTAATTTTTTATGTTTTATGAATTTTAGTTTTACTATTTAATTGTTAATTATAAAGGTATTGATATTAAAGATATACTTTATTAAAAGTATTCATTTATTTAAAATTAATTTTTGTAATTATACGTTAAATAGTTTATTGTAAATTAAAATACAAACATACTAATTTATTATATGATAAATTTTTGAATTCTAGAGAAAATGTTCAGAAATATTTATTAAAACTTTAGTTATAATTTGATATTTTAAACTTTATTTTATTTTTAGAAAATCCTAATCAATTTTGAAATAAACGTAAATATTAGTAAGTTATTAGTTTACTTTTCATTTGTTTTTTCATTTAAAACTTTTTAAAAAAAGCTTTAACTTAAATTATCATTATTTGTAATATATTGAAAGCTTAGAAAATGACAATAAATAGACACTCTTTTAAATATAATATTATTTTGCATAAACTAAGCAATATTATAATTATATAAGTTTATTAGCAAAATATAAATATATTAAATAAATAATATTATATTGAGTTCTTAATATTAAATATTAGTATATTGACTACTGTATATTAGTTATAGCTATATAATTTGATATAATGAATGCTAGAATAATTGTTTTGAATATTAATCGATAATTTGCTCAACTACTGAATATTAAAAGTTGAATACTAGCATAATTGTTTCAAAATTTACTTGAATATTAACCAATAACTTGCTATAAAACTTAACTGAAGTTTGATCAAAATTTATATCTGAATAGTAGAGAAAAATGCTATAGATTTAATTAGCATTAGAAATATAATTTGGCCTAAAATAACCCAGCCAAAATTTAGCTAAAGAAGATTATTTTGATGAGTATATAAAGATTTAATGATAGAATATTTGTAAAATAATGCTTAAAATATAAATAAAAATTACAGTTACAAAAAAAAATTTATGAAAATATATTATATAAAATGATTTAAATATTTAATTATAATATAATAAAAAAATGATTTGTTTATTTAATGATTACAAACTGCTATTTGTTATATGATAAATATTCTATAGTAGTGTTCATTAAATAATATTTATAAAAATAATTTAAATAGATTTTAATAATAAAAATTAAACATCATAAAATATTAATTAAATAAAATTGTAAAAATAATTTATTTTAAATCTGTAATAATTAAATTATCTATAAATAAAAAATATAAAATATATAAATTAAAATTACTTAAAAATTTTTAATTTATAATATTAATATAATTACCAATACTTTGACTAGCTTCTGTTATATTTATAATATTATGATTTAAAATCTTATTTAATTTTTCAGTAAAATTAAGTAAATGACTTGTATGATATGCTTGTGAATGAGATTTTGTATAATTATTATTATTATCAAAATTATTATTTTGATTTTGTTTTAATATCTTATCTGCTTTATAAAAATCAATAATTTCATTTTTTAAAGTTTTATTAAATCTTTTCTCTTGAATATTATTATACCAATTTTTAATAATATTTTTAATTTCTGATGCAGTTGGTCTTTTTAATGGATCAATATCCCAACATTTTTTCATTAAATTTAAATAACATTGTGGAATATTTTCAATATCTTTAGGGCGTTTACCTTTACAAATTTCTAAACTAAGTTGAAAATCATGAGCTTCATTATTAAATGGAGGAACTCCAGATATTAATTCCCACATAATTATAGAAAAACTATATATATCACTGGCTAAAGTATATGGTTGACCTCTTAAAACTTCAGGTGCTACAAATGGTAAAACACCATAAATATTATTATTTTCAGATGATTGAAAATATTCTACTGGTTTGCATAATCCTAAATCACTAATAGATAAAATTTTAGCTCTAATGCTTAAAATATTGCCATGATGCAAATCACAATGAATAAGATTTTTTTGATGTATTTCATCAAGTCCATTAATGATATTAAATAATTGTTTTAATTTAATAATCCATTTGTGTTTAACTATATCCAATAAATTTTTTCTTAAATTACTATTTTTTGCATATTTCATTACTATCATATAATTTAATGTATTTGGATCTTGAGT